AAAGGTGTTTGTTTGACTTGCCTTTGACAGTCCTCACAGAAGCATTTCCCCCCCAGTAGTTTCAGGGAGCAAAATTGTATTTCTCAGAATTAAATTGTATACTCTGTCCTTCAGAAAAGTCTGACGCAGTCCTGAGCAGCCTTTCATTTTGTATGAAACACATTTTTACAGCAGTGGTTAGATGTATGAAATAGGTGAAATATTCCTGACAACACTGAGAATAATTAGCAGCCTATGTTTTGATTTATGTTAAATTGAATGTGAGTTTGGGTTTGGGTTAGATTGTATTAAGGTAGGAGCCTCTAGTGCATGGGTTAGATTGTATTAAGGTAGGAGCCACTTTGTGGGAATGGCAAAATGGTTAATTTGCATTATATTTAGAAATTTGGTATTTGGCGATTAGTGGAACAAGGGAATCTGTCCATGGGTTATCACAGAGGACACTCTTAATAAACTTTCAGGTCTTGTTTCTTTTTGCTTCTGTTGGCACAGTAGAATTTCTAAAACTGTACTTGATAAAAGAATTTCTGTGTTTGACATACAAACCTATTGTAATGCAAGTTTACTTTTTTATAATCATAGCAATGTACTGGTATAATTATGAACGTTTCAAGAAGATGATGTGCAAGGAATTCAGTGTGCATGAACCTACATTTTTAATTGCTTTTACTTCAGGAGCAGCATCTGGCTCTGTAAGTATATAATTTCATTTCTTTTACTACTCTTTATTGTTATCACTAATGGAGTATTTGAAAGAGATGTGATGTTAGATGATTCTCTCAGAAATGTTGTGTTTTGGGGTACATATACTCTAAACATACATAGCCTGGCTTTCAAGCTGATGAGATATATCTGAATAAATGACAGTGTTCTGAAATACAAGACAATAATATCGTGCACTCAGAATATCAGATCTAGTTTGAAATTGTGTCCACATGAATTTTAAAATTTACTTAAATTTTAATTGTTTGTGCACTAACATTAAAACTGATTCCTTTTCCTGATAGATTGCAGCTGTCATAACTCTGCCATTTGATGTAGTGAAAACACATAGGCAGACTGAACTGTGGGAGAGTGAGACCTTAAAAAGTAAGTTGCTGGTAAGAAGAAAAAAATCCCATAATGTTTCAAAAAATAAAACAGTGTTTGGGTATACAGACTTTTTGTAGGAATTGTAAATATTTGTCTCTTCTTCTAAAGTTTATCTAAAATTTCTATCCCCCAGCCCTTTTGTCTCCTGCAAATTGTACTATCTCTTAAGATAATTTTTATCTCCTAGGTGTGCTGGTTTGAAAAGCAAACCGGTGAGAGACTCTGAATCAGAAGTACAATTTAATATGAACAACACAACAAAACAACACAAATGCAACAGTACAAAAAAAAAGTAACCTGACAGAGTCAGAAAGTAACCTGACACCCTGTCAGTCAGGGTGTAGTAGTAGTCCTATTAAACGGTGGCTGCAGTCCTCCTGGAGTGATGGGTTTGTTGGAGCAGTGATCCTGCAGATCCAGTTCTCTCCTGAAGGTCCAGCAGCAGCTCTTGTCCTCTGGGAATCCAGCAGGCAAAGGGCTCCCTGTGCTGGTCCAAACCCCGGCTTAT